CTTTTGTTCAAGTTCAAGATTTAATGGATGGGGATCAGAATAAAGCTTTCCAAACCTCTCCAGCATTGACCTGCAGTAAACCCTCCTCTTACGTACTTTCATTGACACAGCACAGCTTAGCAATTTACCTAAATAGGCTTACTTATCAAACTCTTCTTCCTTCCAAGCTCCACCCTTACTCGTGCTCTTTCTCACCTTTTTGCAAACACTTAGGTTGCTTTGATTTGCTGTCATTCAGCTGGGTCATGCTTGCTGGGCTGTGAGACATCTAAATCACTATGCAAAAATCCTTAACAGAGAGCCGTTCCTGTTTACTTTGCATTGTGCTTCAATCACTAACACAACAGACAGTTGACAGACCGTCAAAAATGAAGATAACTTAAGCATATTAGCTAATTAACTCCCCGGGATAAGCATCATTCAAGTCAGGGAACGATGCTTATCCTGCAAACTGACCAACAATGTGATTGTCACTGGATCCATTTCTCTTTCTTTCTTCCTGACAGACATTCACCTTGTAATAACGTATCTATAATATGTATATAAATAATGATATGTACATAAACAGTAACTGTGTCTGCATGTATTTTATTTCTGTGTCAAAATTTACGTTAAATACATTAAATAAATTATTTTAGGGGTCTAAAGCCTATGGCTCCTGAGACATATTTGGCTCTTTTGGTGATCTCAAGCAGCTCTCTGTGACTTTGACATAAAACTAGATGAATAAAAATAATTGGTTATAGGGGGGGGGGAAGTTTTGATATGTGACAGACATAGGTGCATACACATAATGATTTGTCCCGAGTTCTCCAGGCTGGATAAGGATGAAGATAAAACTTGATAATTTCATAAATGGAACAAAAACATGGGTATTCATCTACTTAACATGGCTGTTTTGTTACTGTGGGCTTAGAGTAGTTATTACCTGTGGGTTACTGGGAATTTCTCTACCATTCAGGACAAGTGTGGCTCTTAAGCAAGGAAGAAGAAAACAAGCATGACACCATCAGATGTTTCCAAGATGGCAGCGCGTGCACACGCAGCGGCTTCTCTCTCTCCCTTTGACTTTTTGACTTTGATCATTTTGGTGATTTTATGTAAATATAACCAGTGCAACTGAAAATTTACTATATGTTTTAAATAATAACTTTCCTGGAACAGCTGTTGCACTCCAACCACCGCAGTATTTGTCCTACTGCTTTGTGTCCTCAGCTCAAACAGCACTTACATTTATCATTGTTATCATTATTATTATTATTATTATTATTATTCATCTCAATGAAAGGGTATATTCTAACATAAAACAAACTGGCCTTTTCTTGACTTATTCTTGTTTAATAAGTCAACAGTGTTGCTAATCAGGCACTTATGTATCATCTAACGTGCCAGACATAATACTACACATTTACAGTGTTATGGTCGGCACGTTTGCCATGCTATTTAATGATGTGTCATGCTTACACAAAGATTCTGTTTTTATCTACTGGCATTCACCAGGCCAGGCATGACATGACAAGTAGATCAGCATTTCTTAGCATTCTTATTAGCATAGTAAGAATTAGATTTTAGCCTCCAGGTTTTGCAGAAACTTCGAATGCATGGAAGATTTCTGCACAGCTCCACACAAAGACTCAGACTTTCTGTTGCAGATGAAGGTGAGATGGGAAAAGATTCCAGCTTTACGCCGACTTTGTTGCTAAACTTAGACACATGCGAGATGCTACATAATTTATTTCGGCTTATGCTGCTAGCTCAAGAAAACTTCCAAACTTAACTGTGTATGTAACATTTACATGTTTTTCTGCACTTATATTATCAAAGGTTTAAGTCCTTATTATATTCCCTAGCTGTTTTTTGTTTTGTTTTTTTAATCCTGCACTATTCATGTTTTCATTAGTTGTGACAGTGCAATATGTCATTAAAACTTTAAAAACGTCCCTCCTCTTTCGGCCCTGTTTTGGTCTCTGAGTTCGTTAGTTGCTGATGGTGGTGTGTTCTTTAAAGAATGACACCGGAGGTCCATTGTGAAACCTGTTAGAATGACAAACCAACCTCTAATGGCCATGTAAATAAGGGCATGTAAGATGTGTGTTGGTGTCACCTTTAGATGTGAAGAGATCCACGCACATATTAGGAAATCTCATCTTTCTTCATGCTTAATGTGTTTTTGTTTTTTATGTAAACCATAATCTTTTTCCAATCTCCCAAACAAGTAAATTCGCTGCCTCAGCTTTCACTTTGACTGCATATTTGGTGAAAAAGCGAAAGACCAAGTGAAAGTAAGTGGATTGCAGTTGTTTAGTAGAAAAGTGGGTGTGTTTCTACCACCACTCTCCCCCAAACTACTCCAACCCCACTCCCTATGACTCCCTGATGCAGACTTTCTGTTGTTTGAAAGTGGAAACACTCCTGCAGAATAGGGACAAATGACCTTTAATGCTGTTCCAGTTGGATGACTTGTGTTTCATCACAAGGATGTGTTCATGTCACACAGTGATGCTCCAGGAATGTGTTTCCATGTGGGGATTCAGCCAAAGCAGGCCCTTACTGGTCGACGCTGCATTGCTCTGATGACCCTCTGTGGCTCCTGTGTTGCTCCTTCAATTGGCATCCCTGCTGTGATGACAGTGGCTCCATTCAAATAAATGGGATGTCTGCCTTTTTTCTGTAGGGCTGGAAAAGGTGTGAAAAATTCTCAACTTTCTTTTATTGGAGCAGGTCTATTTGTTTCTAGATAAAGTATTTACACTAAAAATGTCTTCCTGCTGCTGCTGTTGAGATAATAGTAAAGTTGTCTCACTTAAAACCAGAATAATAAGCAATCTGCACCAAATTCATTAACTTAAAAAAACTACCACTCAATTTTTAATCTCTCACTAACAACAGAAAAAGTATTCAAGCTGAATTTCACTAAAATAAAAATAAGCATTATAGAGTCATTAAACTCTTGTTTTTTTCCTTTCCACTTAGATAAATCATGTTTAATTCAGCTTCCCTTACTGATTTGCTCGGCTCCTCATAGTTTAAAGATCAAAGCTCTATAAGCAAGATGTCCAGTTCTGCCACCATCTTGAAAGGACTGTAGCACTTTTTTGGAGGTTTTCTGAGGCATGAACTAATTTAACTTTGATTTCAGTGGTTACTGAAACATGAAACACACATTTATAAAGACTGTAGTTGACAAAAACACTGGAAAGGTTGGGTCACTTTTTCCATAAATACGATTTTTAAAAGTGTAAACGTTTAACCACCGTCTTTACTTTTGTGAGATTCCTCTTAGAGCTCATTCAGGATAACTGCCACATTCCTCTCTCATAATGTCTTAGACAGGGTGACCAGGTCTCCCGCTTTATATTGGACTGCACAGTATTTTTATCCCTACCCTCCCCCCCGTCCCACATATTGAGACAATGTCCCACATTTTACTGGCTGAAGTTTAGCAAAGTCAACACTGCGAGTCTCACGGGAAACGTGTGGCTCAAAAGGAGATATATTGAAGATGCATCCTCACTGAAACCCAGTGATGATTACCAGACAGAGTAGCAGCTGAAATAACAGTTTTAGCAGTTACTGTGATAGAAAAAGGGAACGCAAGTGTGCAAAGACCAGAAAAACAAGGCAGTTTCCATTTGTGTTTAAACGAAGTCACAAAATACATTTTTCCTTTTGTATGACTGATGCCAAACTTCCATCTTGCATAGCTAATGTGTCCCACAGAACCATACTCACATTTATGTTGTGGACTCAGATTTGACCCACAGTTCATTCTAAAGCATTAGTGCTTCTAACAAAAACTTTTCAGTTCTGCTGCTATAAAGACAGATATGTAGTGACCACCTGTCATTCCACAATCCGTGGATTTATTAGTTAGATTTTTGTATTATATTGAGAATTTTATTCAGCTGTGGTGATGAGCAGTATGGATGAAGTTAGGTAGGAATATCCATGGATTATGATGTTCATAGACAACGCTATGATCCACAGTGGGAGGGAGGGATCGAGGACATGTGGAGGTAAGCTCTGGAGAGAAGAGGAATGGAAGTCAGCAGATACCAGAATGCATGAGAATGAGAGGACGACAGGTGTAACAGTGAAGATGCAAGGAGCTGAGGTAGTGAACCTGAGGTCCACATTTCTAAGCAAGACAGTGCACAAGGGGTGAAGAAGAGAGCAGGAAGCAAGCAAGAAGAGGAAGGGTGGAGTGGGTGGAAACAAGTGTCAGGAGTTATTTGTGACGGAAGGATAGCAGAAAAACTGAAAGGGAAGAATTGAAAGATGGTAGTGAGACCTGCTATGTGTGGATTGGAGACACTGACAAAAAGACAGGAGGCCGAGCTGGAGGTGACTCGATTGAAGATGTTAGAGAGTTTTCACTGGGGATGACCAGGATGGACAAGATTAGAAATGAGTGCATTAGAGGTACAGCTCAGGCTGAATGCGTTGGAGACTAAGTTAGACAGCATTTGCAGAGGAGTGTTGGTGGATATATTGGACAATGAATTTTGAGGCCATCCAGAGGGTTGAAGTGAGAGATGAGGATGCTGGGGATAGGGTGAGAAGGAGGCAGATGATCTCCTGCTCCTAAAGAAAGCAGCCAAAAGAAGCTCTCCAGCTCTGTTATTTATTTTTATTTCACTTCTTTTGTTACATTTCAGATAATTGAGTTACTTTGTCTTGTTATTTTTGTTACTATTTTATTTAATCGATCTGTCTTAAATACATCTTATCTCAGAACGCTTTAAAAATGGCATTGATAGTTTTACGAACCAGAATAAAACAACAAAAAAGTCTGACAACACTGCTTACACGCATGCATTTTTTTCCTTCATATGTAAAATGGGTAATTATGGTTGTCCCCATAGCTTTTATTTAATTATTAAGCGTTTAGTTTTGCACATTCAGCCTGTGTATCGCCACCGCTCGGAGCCATCAGTTCATGGCGCTATTGTCACCGAGCGAGGCCCCGCCCTCGGCGTGACGCGGCGGGGAGAGCGCTGAGCCGAGAGAGGAAAGCAGCTTTAATTGCACAGCAGCGAGAAAAGCCAGCGATGGCTTCTCTCAGGCAGGAGCACCAGTACGGGCTCTCCTGTGGAAAAAACAACAAAAACAGCCCCAACAGGACGCTGTACCATGTCAAGCTCACGGACACGGCTATCAGAGCGCTGGAGGCGTACCAGAACCTCAAGGTACCTTTGTGGTTTGTTTGTTTTCTTTTTGTGTGTTTGGATGTGAATTCATGCGTCAAAGTTTCTCTTTTATCTTCTTTCTAAAAATTTCCACTACCTAATTATTGTTAAAAAAAAATCTTCGTTTATTTAGCTCACGCTTTTAATTTAGTGTGTGTTGAGGTTGTGGCTCCGGCCAGTACAGTTACTTCTGACTGAATCAGTTGGCTTCGTGGCTGGGTAACATACCAGAACTAAACCCAGTGATTGTCAGGAAAGACGAGCCCCTCAGCTGTTTGCTGGGAAACCTTCCTGGTGCTGCTTCAAAGTAAAGCAGAGAGGCAGCACTCTGCATAGTTATCTAATTGACAAGTAGCCTAGTTTGTGTCATAATTGGCTCCAGTGGAGATCATTAACAGCACACAGGCTTTATTGATTGTGTAACTTGTGCTTTAATCTGTTTAAATGTAAGATAAATTATATTTACTGCACTAATTCAGATTGCATAATTCTCCAAAGACGCCTATATGCAACTACAATAGCCTCATTTTCTTTTTTCTCATTAGGGGTCTTTATCAAGTGAGCCATCAATATGTTTCAAAGGGAGCCAAGGGGTAAGTGTGATCATATTTATTTGTTTGTTTTCACATGTGCACATAACTGTATTTTTATGCTTCTGGGATTTCAACCCCATTTATTTGTTAACTAAATTGAAAAAGCCTGCATTGTTGTTCTTTAAATGAATAAAACGGCAACATTTCTTAAAACAGGAGCAAATTGCTCCTCAAATTCTGCTGCCGAGCTGTTGTCTCCTTCTGACTCACACTCTCCACCATGCTGCCACCCTCGGAGCGCTCAGATGGGAGCTTATAGCTGGTCTCCTCCAGCAGATAGGAGGCATGCAGGTTACTGGGTCAGGCTGTGGAGAGGCTTTGTTGGGTCAGCGCTGGGGGAAGGAGGGGAGGGAGAAGTGCGCACTACACTGACAGAGCCAGAGTCAACAGTGGGGAAAGGAGTTATTATGAGTCAAATGAGGAGCATTAATAGATACAAATTAGCCTTGTGCACCTTGTTTCTACTTTGTAAAAATGCAAGTTAATGTTGCATGTGTGTCGCTGCGCAGAAACATCAGGACAGCAGTGCATTAGCAGCTTTCTTTGGCTCGTGAAATTCAGCCATAATCTGCAGTAAGCAGCCTGAAGTATGCGTGTTTTGACTCAAGTCGGGAGCAGCTGTGTCCTTGGGGAATAGTTTCTTTTCAGGCAATGCTAATTGCACAGGCTGGTTGGAAAGAGTTTAACCCCCCCACCCCCCCCACCCCCCCC